CGGCGCTCTGGGCTGGGGCAGCGGGGCCTGGGCCGGCAGCTGGGGGGCCGCAGCCAGAATGTCGGGGGCCCTGGTGGGAGGAGGGGGTGGCTGGGAGCTGGCGCTGGGCCGGAACCTGCCCCCGCCCCCCAGCGCCAGGCTGGCCGCACCCCCTCGGCTCCCAGATGCGCAACCAGGTCCCCCCGTGGGGGCCGCTCCGAGGCCACCATCAGGTGCGACTGGCCGCAGTCAGGGCGCCGTGCCCAGGAGCCATGTGGCCCGTGGTCTGTCTGCCGCTGGCCGGCACCGCACCCCGCCTCCTGGGGGCAGCTGAGGGGGGCGCCCCCCCCACCTGGAGGAACATCCAGTCCCCTTGCTGGTGGCCCCCCGGGCCTCCCCCCACCCCCGCCCCGCCGCTTTGTGTCCGCCCGCCGCTAGGTCAATATTTACTGATCGCGGCCTGTCTGTGCGGCTGGGCGGGGCTGCGGGCCGGACCCGCCCCCTGGACTTCGCCTTCCGAAGGGGCCGGGCCCTGGCCGCTCTGCAGCCTCGGCCCCCACAGGGCGTGGGTCCACCCTGGGCTCGCGGCCTCCCGGAGCCCCCCGGAGCACCTCTGTCTACCTGGGGGCCGCCCAGGGGCGCTGCCCTGGGCCCAGATCTCGCTGGGGCTGCGGCCCACCCGTCCGTCGCGGGCCTGGACGCCAAGAGCCGCTGGTGGGACGCTGGTCAGGCGTCCGTGGCCGGTCAGCCAGGACCACTGGTGTTCAGGTTTCTGGGGGTCAGGAGCTCCTCGCGGGTTTTCAGGCGAGCGGGAGGCCGACCCCACACCCCAAGTTCCTGGAGGGGTCCCCTGTTGTCCCGATCCAGGGGCAGCAGCAGTTGCACAAGGGGGCAGCGGCCTCAGCACCCTCTGGGGTCCTGCCAAGAGGGCGGCCGGACCCTGACCCCGAGTGTCGCAAACAGGCGTCTCTGGCGGCCCTTTTTACTGTGATTTCTGCCTTTCTTAAAGGTTTATTTATTTACTTATGCACAGAGAACTGGGACGCAGGCCAGAGGTGTGGGGGTGAGAGGATGCCCCAGAACCAGAGTGGGGGCAGGACAGGCGGGTCCCCTGGGGGAACCACAGGGAGCCAGGGCTCTGCTGTGCCCTGGGGGTCCCCCCGGCCCCTAGGCTGTGGCAGCCCACAGTGCTGGGCCCTAGACCGTGGCGCCACCAGGGCTAGACACCCCAAGTTTTGGCTTTTGGGGCAAAACATAAGGTGGCGACGGTGGCGCAGACTATGGGGGTCTAGCAGCGGCGGCACGGCGGTCGCCGGACCTTCAGGGCCTGGTGCTCTGGCAGGGAAGCGGTGCAGCCCCCGTGGGCCCTGGCTGCGCTCGAGTCTGTCCCGGGAGGCTGCGCCTCCCCGCTGGGGAGCACGGAGTGCCCGGGAAGGTGGGCGCCAGGTCTGGGCCGCGGCCTCCCCCTCCGGCCCCCCGCACGCCCGCACCCCCTGGGGCCCCCACCTGTCAGGGAGGCCGATTTTTTGGCCAAAAGCGCGGCCCCAGCAGCCCTGCAGAAAGTCCCTTCTCGGGCAGCTCGGCGCGGGCTGGGCATGGGCAGCTGTCCACGCTGCCCGTGTTCTGTGGCCACCGAGCGGGTTCTGTGGCCACTGAGCAGTGGGGCAGGGGCCGCTTGCTCTAGGCAGGTTGACACGCATGGGTGGGGCGGGATGGGGAGGACTGGCTGGCGGAGCCCCGAAGCGCAAGGGAGGCCGACAGGGGCCCCCACCGCGGCCTCCTGGGGCCCCCCACCACGGCCCCCCAGCGCCTCCCCCTCCGCCCCAGCCTCCACGCTGATGGTCTGAAACTGCTCTGCAGCGTCCTCCAGTCGTTGATGTGGGGAAACTACGCCCCGGGGCTGAGGTGGGAAAGGCCGGGCCGCCTGGGTTTGGGCCAAATCTTCCCGGGCGCCCGGCCTGCTCCCGCCTGGGTTTGGGCCCTTCATCGCCAGGCCCTTGGCCGCATGGTGCGTGTGACCGTCACCCCGTTTCACCATCAGAGCCGCGGCCCAGCCAGGCGCTAACTAGCCTGCCTGGCAGTGGCTGCCCCTCAGGGTCAGGGGGCTGTGGCCATCCGTGGCCAGCAGGGCCGAGCCCAGCTCGCACAGGTGACCAGCTCAGCCGGCAGAGCCCGCCGCTGCCCCCTCAGAGCCTCAGTGGCCCTCTCTGCACAGCGGGGGTGACCCCGCTGCCCCCGTGTCTGGCTGGCTGAGGCTCAGGCGGTCACGAAACGTCCACCCCGGCGGGGCGAGGGTCTCAGGGCACGTCTCGGGGCAGTGGCTGCTGCAGGCTTTGCCATGGGACTGCAGCACCCGGGGCGCGGCCGTGTGGCTGGGCTGGAGGGCCCGGCCCCGGGCGAGTCTCAGCAGTAGCGGGTAAACCGGGAGGCTCAGTGACCTGCAGAGACGCGTGGCCGCACACCCCGGGGGATGGGAGCGTGACCGTTATCGGGCGGGTGCAGCCGGCGGGCCCAGCGGGCGGGGTGGGTCTCTATCTCTGGGGCGCACGGCCCACGTGCCTGGCCCCGGGTGTGGGCGGCTCTATCGTCAGGCAGCAGCGCCCAAGGGCCCAGAGCATGGCTGCGGGCTGCGGGCTGCGGGGCGGGCGGCAGGGCGTCTGGACTCATGTGCTCGCAGGCCTGTGCCAGCTGCGGGGACCGGGCATCGGCCATCGCCGCCCCGGCCTCCCTCCGCTGGCTAACCACAGCCTCCACTGCGGGCGATCAAAGGAGCCGCCCCGTCTCTGTGACCAGCACTGGCCGGCTGGTCAGGCGGGGCTCAGCGGCAGCTGCTGGAGCGGGCGGCTCTGCCCACGCCCTGTGTTGGCCACGCTCGTCCAGTGGCATGTGGGGGCCTCGCTGGTCTCCGTGGAGCGCAGGCTACCTCGTGGGGACCAGCGGGGGAAGGGCACGGGGGCCTGGGTGCTGCCCTGGGTGTGCTCCAGGTGCCAGCCTGCTCTCCTGTCGCCAGATACAGTCTGCGCTGGGCTCTGGCACCAGCAGGCGGCCCAGGCCTGGCCAGGGCAGGAGTGCGGCCCGGCGGGGCCCCGGAGGCCTGTGTCCAGGGTCCGCATTGCAGCTGGCCACTCTGGTTGCCCCGGGGGGGCATTGGTGTTGTTCAGACCTGGTGGCCACAGAATCACAGTGGACGGACGGTTAGCCTCTTGCAGCGATAGCTGTCAAGACTCCCCGGCCAGTGGCCCTGTGGTGGGCACAGAGGGGAGGCGGCCCCCTCCAGGGAGGCCCTGCTGCCCCAAGGGGGCAGCTCCCTGGACGTGCCAACTGGGCCATGTCGGCTGGCCACATCTCCCCCGCAGCCCTTTGCTGGTGGTCGTGGCGTGGGCAGGAAGGGCAGGCCGGCAGCTGGTCTCCCGGAGCCTGTGGGGCGGTGAGGCCTTGTGAGGGCCCCCCGCTGCTCCCCCAGCAGGCCCCCCCTTCCGCCGGGCGCAGCCTGGAAGCTCCGCTCTGGGCCGCCCCACGGCCAGTGGCCGCACCACCCTCCGTGGCTCTCGCTGCCCCTCAGTGCTGTGGCCCAGTGCTGTCCCCTCACATTTGAGGTGTGGGGATCTGAGGCCCCAGATGATCTGCCCACTGTGGTGGCTGACCCAGGGGCCTCCTGGGGGCTCAGGGGTGAGTCTCAGCCCTGTGAGGCTGTCGCAGCCCCTGCAGCGAGGGCTGGACCCCCACCAGGGAGGGGCCCCAGGGGCAGCTGACCCCTCCTGCCGCCCACAGCCCCCTCAGCCGTGGGTGTCAGTGGCTCCACCTGTTCCGCTCCCCACGCTGCCTCTGGGCGTCCTGTCACCCCCACATCTCTGGACTGTACCCCGCTCCTGTGCGTGTAAATAAATGAATCTTTCCTAAAAAGGAGATACTGGCCTAGGTCTTGGGCCTGCCCCGGGCGCCCCCTCCCTCAGGCTTTAGGAACGTGGCTCCGCCGGACACTGGGTGAGGCCAGGGCCACAGTCACTGCTGTTTTATTTTGGTTTCTTCACCTGTAGCTTTCCCGTTCTCGTCTCAAAAGCCTAGGATGAGCGCGATCCCCAAGAGCCGGATGTAACTGGGGCGCGGTGGGCAGCGGCTGGGCGGGCTGTGGGTCCAGTCCGTGGGAGACCCTCGGCCACTGCTGCTGGGGCGGCTGCGGCGGTGGGCGGCCCGGGCGGGGGTTTAGCTGGAGGTTTGTGCGGTTGAACCGTCGGCTGCCCTCGAGGTCCACTGTCCCCACTCTTCATGTAGTGGTGACTTCCCCATCACGGAGCCTTCCCATCCCGGCTGTCCCCCGCGGGCTTCCCCCGCCAGCTCACCCACTTGCCGGCACCCCAGTTCCTGCGCCCGCCTGTTCCTGCGCCCGTGCCGCCCCCAACCCCAAGTCTCTGGCACGCGGCTGTCCGTCATCCTGATCCGGCCCTTGACGCGGTTCCCTGTGACTTGGCCTGGTCACCTTGGCGCCTTCAGCAAACACCGCCGCGGGCCGCGGCGCCACCTGCGGGCGGCAGCTGCGCGCTCGGGGTGCAGTTGCCCAAGGTCAGCCTTCGATCCCTCAGCCGGCCCGAGGCCCGCGGGCAGCGCCGCCCCCGCTGCCCGCCCGCCCTCCCCACGGGCCGCTGGCGGAGTGACCTTCAGGAGCCCCCTGAGCCCTCGGGAGCCCTTTTCTGGGCTCTGAAGGGGGCGCTGTAGCGCGTGGGCCACGGCGGCGCCCCGGGGGCGGGGCTTCGCCTTTCGGGCCAGGCGCCAGGCAGGTGTGCCCATCAGCCCGTTTTGCAGGAGGCGGAGACGGCATGGGCGAGTCCCGCCGTGAGGGGGTGCGGCGGGCACGACCCTCGCCTCACCCCGGCCTGCACCTGGGGCTCTGGGGGATTCTGCAAACCGGGGGCTTCACACCCACGGGGAAGTGCAAGCCCAAAGCCCACGGGAGCCAGGGCGCAGCTGCAGGGCTGCGCGCTGCGCCCCACTCGCGAGGGGGGCCGGGGGCGTCACCCCCTCCGGGGGCGGGGCCGTCACCCCCTCCTGGGGCTGGGGGCTCGTTCTGCTCGGCTCCCGCAGGCAGGCGCAGCCTTGCCCAGCCAGAGATCGTGGAAGAGAAGGACGCGCTTACTTTCCGCGGACGCGCTTACTTTCTGAAAGCTATGGACTGGGAAGTCACATTGTCTTTAATTCCATTTACAGGACACCTCAGAACGGGTACCTGGAGGGTCACAGCGGGCATGGGGTGGGCGGGGGTGGGGGAGAGAGGCGTGGAAGGGCGGCAGCTCTTGTGCAACGCGGAGCCGGGCACGCTGGGCAGCGGCTGGGGCAGCGGCTGGCTGGCTGGAGCGGCTTCCGGGGAAATCCCATCGCCCTCAGTGCTCTCGCTGGGACCAGGCCGCAGTCCGTGTCACATCTCTACGTAAGACGTAAGACGGGAGGGTGACCTAAGGTCGCAACACTGTAAGCGCCAAGCAGGAGCCTCCAGGTGGGGGCGCAGAGAGCCCCCCCAGGCGCAGCAACCCGCCTGTGCCCGCAGGCCCTAGGCAGCGGAATCAGGGGACCCGCCTGCTCTGCTCCCCTGTCTCTGAGGCGTCGTTACCCCCCATATCTCTGGCCCGCACCCCAGCTCTTGGTGCGCACACAGATAAAGGGGTTTTCAGCAGAGTTCAGCGCCTGAGCTCGGCCGAGGGGCTGTGATGCTCCAGGCCCGCGTGCCGCCTCCTCGGGTCAGAACAGCCGAGCAGCACCGCCCTGCCAGCCCCGCTGGCTGGAGCAGACTTCACTCCGAGGGTCAGAGTTCCCTGTGCCCAGACTTTACATTTAAAATTCTTTCAATTAAATTTTAATCCCTGGAACCAGGCCCAGAGCGTCCCTGCGCGGATGGGGGAGCAGGGGCGTCTGGGCGGAGGCCGGAGGGCTCACACGGCCAGCGACTCCCGGCAGGCCGCACGCCGCGGGGTCCAGGGGCGAGACTGGACCGCAGCAGCGTGCTGGGGTGCGGCTGTGAGGTCTCGGGAAATGTGGTCATGGAGTCGATGTTCGGGGGGCGCTGTCCCAGAGTGCCCAGCCATTCCTGGGGTCACCCGTGCCCCCACAGCTCTCTCTCTTCTCAAGGCTGTAAACTCAAGCCTTTCCTCCCTACCCGGCCCCAACGGGCGCCCCCGGCAGCCGCCGGGTTCACGCCTCAGTGCCCCAACCAGCTGTCAGCGGTGGCCTACCTGCCCCCTGCCAGGGAGTGACCCACAGGGCGCAGCAGGCCCCTCCCGCCTCAGCCCACGCCCAGGTCTCCTAAGCCTCAATAAATCTCAGAAACAAAAACAGGTCTTACCTGGCAGGTGAGCAAGTCGCCCCAGGTCTCCACATAACTGAGTCTTGCAGAACTAGTTCAAGACCTGGCCGCTGGGGCCCAGAGCAGCTGACGTCCTCCCGGTCAGCACCCTGTGTGATCGTCTCGGGTAAGTTTAATTTTCTTCCGTGGAGCAGAATAAAGACACTAGGAAAAGGTGAGAACACACAGTCACAAGACAAGGGGGGGCGGTGGCCCATGGCCACGCCCCTGCGCTCATGGCCACGGCCTCTGTTCGTCCCCGTCCCCGGCTTATGGGTGCCTTAACCACCCCCTGGAACCAAACATTTATGTTGTTGCCAAAATTCTACCATTAAACCAGCTTCTGTTATGACCTGTGTCGCCCGAAAGTACAACCGCACGCTTAGAGAACAGGTGTGCTACTGGCGCAGGCCAGAGGCGCAGGGTGAGAGGATGCCCCAGGGACAGAGCGGGGAGCAGGACAGGCGGGTGCCCTGAAGCCCACTGCTGAGGCGGCCGTGGGGTCAGCTGCGCCCCAGGACCAGGGCACATGGCTGGCGCCAGCCGGACGGCGCTGAGATGTCCTCCCACGCCCAGGGGGGCCTACGAGGCCCAGCAGCTACTGGCCAGAGCAGCGGCTAGGGGCTCCCTCTGTAGCGGGGTGAGTCCCAGGCAGGTCGGGTCAGGCGGTGGCCTCAGGGCAGTGCAGGCAGGGCCCTGGCGAGCTGAGGAGGCTGCGAGTCTCGGGCGCAGCAGCGGAGGCTCATGGGTGGGCGGGCAGGGAAGGAGGCCGGGGCCGGGGCCCAGGCCGCACACAGCCGGGACAGCAGCCCCAGTGCGACGGCAGAGGCCGGGGAGCAGAGGCCTGACCCCCCCGGGCCGCGGCCTGGCAGCGCTGCCTGGGGCCTCCGCTCTCCTCTGGACCCCTCGGGCCTCCCTGGGGCGCGGGGGGCAGTCAGTGTTGTGGGGCCAGCCACAGCCCGGCAGCCCGAGTCCAGCCCCTTCAGGGAGGGAGGACTCCCTCCCTCACAGCGCAGCAGCCCCCCTGCAGCCCCCCATTTCCCCGCGGCCCGTCAATCCGCCAGTCCTGCTCCCCGCTAGCTCTCTGGGGCCTCCTCCGCCCCCCAAACTCTGGCCTGTACCCCGGTTCTTGTACGAATAGATAAGCCCTGAAAGAAGAGTTATCCTGTGCTTGTCCCCGCTGACGGGGAGGGGGTGGGGGGGCTCATCTGCGGGGCTTCCTGGGAGAGGCAGAGGCAGGGCGCGGGTGGTCCGGCAGTGGGGTGCTCACCAGCACCCCGCACCCGAGGCTGCAGCCGCTTCCCTGGCATCGCGGGTCTCCTCTCACCTGGCGGCTGTGGTGTGGCGCTTCACAGCAGCGGCTCTGGGGACGCCCCAAGTCGGGTCTGTGATTGCTGTCGCCATCAGGTTCCGGACCAACTTGTGTGGAAGCTGCGCAGGCGAGGTGTTCTCCAGGACACGCGTGTGTGCTAAGTGTGGTGGTGAGCTGGTGGACACCTGCCTGACCTGCCGGTGGGGGCCCTGGCACGAGCTGCTCCCCACATGCGGCGGCGGGGTGCACCAGGCTGCTGAATTACCACTTCCTCAGCGCGAGCAAGTGGGTGGTCTTATCACCCCGCTACTGTTTTCACCAGCCTTTACAGAGGATTTCATCTGTGATGGACAGGGAGCCTCAATTTCTTTTTCCTTGCACTGAAGATCTGGGGTGCAGGCTGGCTGAGAGGGTTCCCCAGAGACGAACTGGGAGCAGAACAGGCTCACAGACCCTCAAGGGGAGCCCGGGAGCCAGGAGGGGTCTGCTGCGCTGGATCACACTCCGGTTGTAGGGGCACAGCGCTGACCGCGCGGTGGGGAGGGGGGGAGTCCTCGACCCTGCACCCCTGCACCCCTGCAGCCCGAGAGCCGTGCAGAGCACGACAGGTCCTTGCAGGTCCTTGCGGGTAAGCACCGACAGGTCCTTGCGGGTAAGCACCGCAGGAGACTTAGGGCGTGGCCAAGGTCCAGACCCGAGCCAGCCTGCGGGGGGAGGGAGGGTGGCTCCCAACACGCGGTGCGAGGACTGGAGCAGTTTCCTGAGCCCTCCGCGGGGGCGGGGCGCAGAGCTGAGCCCCAGAGCCCCTCAGGGTTCTCCCCGCATGAACACAGCAGGCGTCAACGGCCGCGCACGGAGGAGCCGAGCAGCAGTCCGCTAGGCAGGGCTCTCCCGCCCTGTGGGGGACAGCGCCTGCCGGCCAGCAGCCGTGTCCCTCGCCGCCGCGGGCAGGCCGGGCTCCGGCGCGCGTCCACGAGGGGCGTGGCCCCGCCCAAGGCCCCGCCCCACCGAGGCCCCGCCCCACCGAGGCCCCGCCCCCAGCGCGCGCACGGCTGAGGTATTTTGGCCCGCGAGCGGGGCCGTAGCCCCAGTCTTCTCGGGCGTCCGCTGCCGGGAGCCGCGACCCGCGATGTCGGACGAGGAAGCGGGGGCGAGCGGGGGTGCGGAGGGGGCGGGCGCGGTGACGGTGGGCGACGTGCAGGCGCTGATACGGCGCAAGGAGGAGATCGAGGCTCAGATCAAGGCCAACTACGACGTGCTGGACAGCG